TAATTGGCTTTTTCTTTCATCTCAGTTGTGGATCAATCTGTGAATCACTTGTGTCTTAATCACAAGATTTTAAGTTCAATTGGTGCTCAAAATCAAAGCCAACACTCCAGTGGAGTATCATGGAGCCAAGGATGCATCTTTCAGATTAAGTGTTACACTGAGGTCCCATTTACCCACTCAGGCAAATTCACAAAACCCTGTAGCACAAGTTTGAGGAACAGCAGGAGAGTTTTCCCTGGTGACCAAGCCAATCTTATCTTTCAACCACCATCATACTAACAAAGATGATATAGTCATTATCACATTGCTGTCTGTCAGATAACTGAGCGTAAGTTAACTGCCATGTTTCCTACATTATGGCAATAACCAACCTCTCAAAAAAAATACTTCATTGGCTGTAATGGACTTTGAGATGTCAGGAAAAAGCACTATATAAATGCGAGCTTTTCATTTCTTTTTTCAATGCAGAATCCCTCTATAAACTGTAAGAAAATCTACCCCACACAGTAATAGGGCTTCACAAGCACAAATGATGTATGTGTACGTTGCCTTTAAGAAAGTTCACCTTTAAGAACTCATTATGCTAAATGTACACAATGTTGTAACTCTGCCTGGCACTTAGTCTCTGACAAACAATTGATTATTAAACCATTATTAAAATGACATGCCTCACTTCATTTCTTACTTGTAGCCATCTCAACTTTGCAATTGCACCATTAAAAAGACACTCAAAGTAAACAAGCAAGGGCTCTAAACTACTTTAGAATTAGGAACATTTCAAGGCCTCTGAAGAATTTTTACAAAATGATATACACCTGTTTATTATTGCAATACAAACTTTAGTGGAAATAATAAGGGGGTCTGTGGTTCAGTGGTAGTGCCCCCACCCCCAAACTAAGAGGCCCAATTTCCAGTCCCACTCGCCCAGAGGTGTGTAGTAACATCTCTGAACAGGCTGATTAGAAAAATAGGTTAAATTAAAAGTGTGGAAATAATAAGGGGCTCTGTGGCACAGTGGTAGTGTCCCTGGCCCCCTGGACCAGGAGGCCCAAGTTCCACCTGCTCCAGTGGTGTGTAATAACATCTCTGAACAGGTCGATTTAAAAAAAAGTGGAATTAGTGTAACCACTCCTTCATTTTTTCCAGTCATGAAAGCATTGATTATAACTTGTGAATGTTTTTCTGTAACATATAATCAATAACTTGAAGTCTAATCCTGAAACATGTTCCTGTACTAATCTTTACAATGAGCTATACAATGTACAGTGTATTCAAACCATGAAATATAATTTCTTTGTTGCGTTAAAATGTCCCACTCTGTTTGCAAATGCTCTATATTTTGGCTGCTAAAACTGCCCTGCATCATTATTCATTAAAACATTTTCCAATATATTAAATTGCGTAGCCTTGGTGTTTAGCAAATTATGGTAAAATACGATTACAAGATCAACACTGGGCCACAAAATGATTTTTTGAAATAAGCACAACTCTTTAGTTGTGTTGAGAAACAAACATCAGGTCCAATGTGCACCTAACTTGCATCACATGAACGTCCACCTGGCTGAGCAGGAAAATAAAAACATCAGCAAGAATTCTTGGTCTGGAGCTCTAATTCAGTGACCCATGCTGAAATTTACTGTTGAGGAAATGATATACTTCATACAGTAAAACAACTCCCAGATTGCCACTTTTAACCTTGAACATGTCTTTCTTTTTCTTTTAGTGCTTATAACTTCTTATTTATTCACAATCTTCCTCATGTACTTTTATTTTTTGGTAAACAACTTCACACAAACCTACAATTCTGTAGTAATTACATCACAACACCTCAAAGATTGTATACACCAACAAGTGTGTTGCTGGGAATCAAGTTTACAGAAATTCAGATTATAGCAGAGCTACTGAGATAGCAAGAACTGCAGATACTGGAATCAGAGATAACACAGCATGGAGCTAGAAGAACACAGCAGGAAAGTTGACATTTCTCGTCGGGACCCTTCTTCTTTCTGAAGGGTCCCAACCTGAAATGTCAACATTCCTGCTCCTCTGATGCTGCCTGGCCTGCTGTGTTCTTCCAGCTCCATAGTGTGTTATCTCTAGAGATACTAAATGGCTGTTTTGTATCAGTCTATACTCCTGTAGATGATGCTTACATTCCTTCAGGAAGTCAAATTGCTGCATGTCACAGAAAAATTTCCAGACTTTACTTGGTGTATTTTGAGCTCAGCCTCCGTATTGAGCCTATTTTCGGACGACCCTTTCACTATGATGGAAGCGAATGTTTTTTTTTAAAAACTGTTATGCTTAGCTTCAACACTTTTTTTCTTTACTGCAGACTTATCTTTTGACTTGAAAACAAACTCTTTCTTTCCACAAATGCTGATAGACCTGCTGAGCTTTCCAGTATTTTCTATTTCAGATTTCCATCATCCACAGTATTTTGCATTTAATACTCTCCACCTTATATGATTATTTAAACTTCAGTGCTCCCATTAGCTTTTATCGTTTCATGGGTTACTTGTATCTCCACCCCTGCTTCCCTCTATATGTCCTTATTCTCGGAAGAATTGAGGTATTCATGAAAATAAATGATTGTGCTCATATCCTGCCACCAAGCCTCAATTTTCCTGTGAACCTTCCTTATTTCCTATGCATGGAATTATGCCAGTCAAAAAAAGTTTGTATTGTCCAGCATGTTGTGAACTATCCTTCATGTGGTTGTATATGCCATCAGTGTATTTCTCTCCATGTCATTTAGCTCTACATGAATAATTGCTGATGAGTTCCTATCTGTCCCTGGCAATACATTTCTGACCTTTCCTCAGTATCTACGGTTGTAGTTCAAGATTAACAAATCATCATTCCATATATATTGCCCCTACAATATACATCCCTATTCATTTTCCTGAGCAGCAATTATCTACGACCGGAATCTGAGACGTAAAAACACTTGTTTGCCTAGATTGCCCTCTCTGGTTTTCTAATCATCTTCGGGGAAATTCTCTTTTCAATTTTGGATAGTGTTTGGAATCTCTTGGAGGGTAATTACCCAGGGCATTTACCAGCCTTGCTTATTTTACCAATGTTAATTCATTCAGTGCCTCTAATTACTCAGCTTGCTTCAGTATTTGTCCTTCTGCCATGACAACACTGTTCCTTTTTGTACTGGTCTCCAGCTCTAATGTCTGATTGTTCACTCATGCTCTGAATTAGCCTAGCCCTAGTGCTTCACTGAGATGACTCACATTGAATTTATTACAAATTCTCACGGTTACTGTCTTTCCCTTTTGAATGTATTACAAATGTTCACTTCTGTCTACCCCGAAAGTCTTAAAAAGCAAGGTACAGGGCCTATCAATTTTGTACCTTTACCAGAATTGCCATCTACATCCTAAACATTTCATACCATGTTTGTGTGAATTTGACTGCAATTCAGTTAATTGATTTAATTTTGCCACTTGCCATTTCAAAAATTCAATAGTTGGCTTGCTTCCATTTTACAATCATCACTTTCCAACTGAATAGCTGTGTGCACTGTTTCCATGACAACTTTAAAACCAGTTACTTTCAGATGTGGGTCTTTTGCTCAATGAGAGGGGAAACAAAGCAGAAATCTGTAAACAAGCTGCAGACAAGGAAGTCAAAAGGATGTGACACTTTCCAAAAACTGATTTCCTATCTTTCTTCAGAATTACAGTAACTGAAGCCTTTGCAAGAATTGCACAATTTAACTGCCCCTTTCCTGAAGAAAAGTAATGTAAATATCAATGCAGATGTTAATCTTTTACTTTAAAAGTCCTTTTGAATATTCATATAAACAGCTTAATATGCAGCCTGAACCATTTTCTTACACAATTTTCAATATCCTATAGCTAAAAATTGTAGTTCAGCATGCTTCTAATGACATGATAGAAAATGATTACCAATTATTCAACATTAATTACAAATTAAATTTCTTTTTTACAGAAGTTCAAACTTAGGTATAGAAATAAAGCCATATGACCACTATACGAGTCTCAGCAAGCAACTGGAAATTCTGTTCTCTGTGAATAATAACTCTGGTATGAATATCACCTACTGAAACCAACGTATGAATTGACCGGGCTCGCTGCGAAAAACAAAACAAAAACTACTTTCGTTGCGCATAAGATCATGACAATATACCAGATTTCATACAGAAATTTCAAGACTGTAGCGAACCAATTGTTTCACACACAATTACAAACTGCGCCTGAACCATGTGACATTTGGCTGAATTGTTTTTTAGGAAATGTAGGTCACTCCGATCATTGAGGATGTGGTGCCAAAATCAGGCGGTACGATTTTTGATCGTATTATTCATTAAAAAAAGACCACCGTTGATGGTGTGAGACATGGCGCTACTTCTGTTCTCCAACTGTATCATTTTGCTAGCTGTCTGAAACCCGTACGATGAACTGCAGCCTAAAATTTTCATCCTTTCTGCAATACACTTGAAACAAAATGACGAAATCTTCCACAAGAGGTTAATATTTGCAGGTACATAACCACCAGTGCTAAATGATACGTGTACACGCCCAAGCTCACAGCTTCCCGAATATTTGACTGTTCATGCAAAAGCATTGCCAGGAATCGTTTAAGTACACAACACGTCCTGTACCTTCACTGGGCGGGGGGCGGGGTACAGAAATAGTGGATTTTTTTTTCCGAAAACCACATGGACAACAAAGCAAAAAGAAATCAAAAATCGTAACCCAGAGTGATAGTGTAAGACTTGAACGCAACAGACAAGCGAAAACAGGATCACCGAACAATTTCCCCTGTAAGAAATACACCGAAGACAAAAGCGCTTTAAAATTGTCATTAACCGCAAATTAAAAGGAGCAGAAGAAGAATTATATTGCGGCAGAGAAATGATATTATCATCCGTTTCGCTCGAAACCCAGCGAGAATGCTGCCATATGTCTTTCTGTGTGGTGCCCTCTCTCACAGACACAAGGCTGGGTGTCTCGGTTACTCACAATGTACAGCAGGTTCAGGATACACAGCGAGTTCTTGGAACAGGTGAATCCGCCGCAAACCATCTTCAACGACGAAGCCCCAGCAGCTGATCAGCCCCGAGGAGGAGGAGGAGGAGGGAGAAGGGGAGACAAGTCACCGAGCCGCTCGGCTGTCCCAGTGTTTCTCAAGGCAACCTCACTATTGGCTTGAAAATGCCGCAAAGCCCGCAGCTCGCACTGTCAGAATGCAGGATACACAGACAGCGAGAGAGAGAAAGCAGCAGGAGCGGTCAATGCGCAAGCGCTGCCGCCTGCGATCAGCTGACTCCTGGGTTGGGGTGTGTGTTGGGCTGAGCCTCCAGCTGAGAGAGAGAGAGAGAGATAGAGACGTTCAGAGACAGAGAGAAGGACAAAGACGAAACCACAGCCTGCTGAGGGCAGGGGACATTCAGCAGTGCCAGGGAAATGTCAGCACTTCCAGCTGACCTGGTATATCAGGAAGCAAAGCTATTGGAAATCTGCAGCGTCTCATATTATTTTAATTTGCACATATATCAGAATGAATTACATGTTTCTGTCAAAAAACTGATTAGCCACCAATGCCTAAATTGGTTATTGCTATTGTATGAATATCAGGAGCAGGTTTTCTGGGAGACATAGACTCTTGCAGTGGGACCTGGGTGTCCTTGTGCACCGGTCGCTGAAGGTAAGTATGCAGGTGCAGCAGGCGGTAAAGAAGGCAAATGGTACGTTGGCCTTCATTGCAAGAGGTTTCAGGTACAGGAGCAGGGACGTGTTGTTGCAGTCAGACGGGGCCTTGATGAGGCCATACCTAGAATATTGTGTGCAGTTTTGGTCTCCTTTTCTGAGGAAGGATGCTCTTGCTCTTGAGGGAGAGCAGCAAAGGTTTACCAGGCTGATTCTGGGGATGGCGGGACTGATGTATGAGGAGAGATTGACTAGGTTAGGATTGTTTTTGCTAGAGTTCAGATAAATGAGGGGGGAATCTCATAGAGACTTATAAAATTCTAACAGGACTGGACAGGGTAGATGCAGGGAGGGTGTTCCTGATGGTGGGTGTGTCCAGAGCCAGGGGTCACAGCCTGAGGATTCAGGGTAGATGGTTTAGGATGGAGATAGGAGACATTTCTTCACCCAGAGAGTGGTGAGCCTGTGGAATTCATTACCACAGGAGGTAGTTGATGCCAAAACATTGAATGTATTCAAGAGGTGACTAGATATAGCACTTGGGGCAAATGGAATCAAAGGTTATGGGGAGAAAGCAGGATTAGGCTATTGAGTTGGATAATCAGCCATGGTCGTGAAGAACGGCAGAGCAGGCTTGAAGGGCAGAATGGCCCCCTCCTATCTTCTATGTTACTATGATTAAAGACTAGACACCATTACTTATGTGAGCTGACAAACATTTATGAATTGTTCACACTATGCATAGAGGCATAGTTGATTTCGATTCCACTAGAATATTCTTCCATCAGATCCCAGTCCCATGGGATTTGACATAACTGATAATACAGTCTAGCAATAACATATAGCTATTAATTCCATGTACACCACCCCAAGTATTTCATTCTATCTGTAAATGATCCATATTATCTGACAAATCCCTTCCCTTAAATTCACTGATACCATTCCTGAGTCATAGAGATAGTCACTGTTAGTCTGATCACATTGCCCAATCATGCTCTCATCTCTTTGAAAGAGACCTAGGATCAGTGTCTTCCTGGAGATCCATCCTGTGAGTTGGTCAACCTGACTTCCCAGTCATCTGGATACTTGACCCTGTCCTATAAAGATCTTCTGCTGGTACATACAGATCTCCTTCTGAGAAACCCCTGATCAGTATGTACAATTTAAGATGGGACGAATTAATTGGCTTTCTAATATTGATTCTGGACCCATTGACTCTCCTAGCTGAAGTTTTAATCACCTTACACCCTAGATGAAAATTGTCGTTCATGTTTCATCAATTTAATAGTTCTTTGAAGAAGTAATATATACTGTAAACAGGAACGCGTGGCCGTACTATACTTGGATTTCCAAAAGCAATATGATATAATACCACAAAGGTTATTGCAGGAAATAAAAGCTCATTGTTTAGGGGGTAATATATGAGCATGGTTAGAAGATTAGCTATCAACAAAAAAAAACAGAATACTTACCAATGGGTCTTTTCTGATTGGCAGCATGTGACAATGGAGTCCCAAATGGATCTGTACTGAGGCCTCAACTTTTTAAATTTGCATTAATGACATAGATGATGGGAGTGAAGTCATGATAGCTAGATTGGAAGATGACACCAAGATAGGGAGAAAAGTATCTTGTAAAGAAGACATTAGGAAGTTGCATATGAATAAAGATAGGTGATGTGAGTGCACAAAAATCTGGAGTATAATGTGGGAAAATATGACTCCATCTACAAGTTTGCTGATGACACAACTGTTCTAGTTTGATTTCAAACAGTGACAAGACAGAACAGAGGAAAGAGATTGTGTGCTTAGCGGCATGGTGCAAAGATAACAATCTGCACCTCAACATCATCTCCATCAGTCAGCAAAATGAAATAGCTGGTCATTGACTTCAGGAAGTAGAGTGGAAGGCATGCCTCTTCTGGAGCTGAAGTGGAGATGGTTGACAGCGTCAAGTTCCTGGGAGTGATGATCATCAACAATCTGTACTGGTCCACCAAAGTCAATGTGATGGTCAAGACAGCAGAATAATGTCTCTACGTCCTCAGGAGGCTATGGAAATCCAGCATGTCCACAAGGACTCTTACCAATCTTTATAGAGGCATCCTAGAAAGCATACTATCTGGATGCATCACAGCGTGGTATGACAACTGCTCTTCCCAAGACCGCAAGAAACTACAGAGTTGTGAACACAGCCCACTCCATCACGCAAGCCAGCCTTCTATCCATTGACTCCATCTACACTTCCTGCTGCCTCAGGAAAGAAGGAGTGGGATGCTCCAAGGGTCGGTGTGGACTTGTTGGGCTGAAGGGCCTGTTTCCACACTGTAGGGATTCTATGATCTCTATGACATCTGGCTTGTATGTCCTTTTAAAGAGTCTGTTTTTCTTAAATGTTTAATATGTCTATAATTTATTTGGAGCTTTAATCCATTGTCATGACATATGACACCATTCCTCTTTTTCTTACATCCTTTACGGCATCATTGACTTGAGCTATTCCTTAATTTGCAATAATTAGTTCAAGCAAAATTTCAAGCAAGTGAAAAAGCTTTAAATTTATACAGGAAGAGCTGAATCTTAACTCCCAATAAAGACATTGTGTCAGATTATAAAAGTCAGGAACAGAAATAACAAATCCATTCATGGGAAGCAGGTTGGTCATTTAAATATTAGAAAGAATCTCTCTACCTTGATTTGTCAGCCTGTTTTGTGGACAGATGGCGTCAGGAATTCAACAACTGGAAGGATCTCAGAATGGCTGAACATCTATTAGACTCCTGCCCTCTCAGCAACAATCAAACCCAATAAAGTTTACATCATCGTTTCAGAACTTGATTGTCTGTGAGATTTTTTTTCATAAGTAGTCAATTTAAATGTAGCTTGTGCTTATTTAGCCACAATAACACACTTTTGCCAAATTAGTTTAAATACTCCCCAGCAGCACTAGGAAAACGTCGTACAAGGAATTCAACTAAGTTCTGTTCAGCTGCAGCCCACTCAATCTCTTCTCCCCCAGTGCTGGCTACAATATCCCAAGGATCTAATGTCCTTCTGCACAACTTTCCAGCAATTCAGTGATCTGCTATATCTTTCTGTTACTGTACTCTTTTGTACAGATTACTGAGAGTAATGTAGAAATAATTATTTTTGAGGTCTCCTCCTCACTATCTTCCTACCTAGCTGCTTGAATTCTGACTGCAGAACCACATCCCTCCTTCAGTGTGGACCATAATTGCTGGCTGCTCACCATGTAGGGGAGTAATTTAAATCAACACTCAACACAGGTTCTGATCAATACTTCAAGCAGATTTTGCTACACTGTGGGGAGACAATCTCACCTGGAACACCAGTTAACTTCTCCAATGAAACAAAGGATACAAACACTTCATGTATATTTATTCATGTTACATCCTTCCAGTATGAGCCAATCACATCATGTAACATCATATTGCATGTTCATTCATTTGTCAATTTAAAAGACAAAGCAATGGCCTTGTCACAGCTATACATACACATAACAGGATATCTGTTGTATGCAAGTAACACCTGTGTCTCAAGATTTGTGAACTCCGTTCTTACCTTTATCTTATACTGGCATCTGTTATGTGTGAGTCTGGTCAGCAAAAGACCCATTTATACTTTTTCCTTTATTACTAACTACATTTCCACTGTCTCGCTGCTAACTTTTTCACCACCAGCTAGAAACTGTAATTGTAGCCCCTTCGCACTGTCAAGGTGGTCTGCAGCCACCAGTGATATCTTCAACCATAGTACCAAGGAATCATCGTAGATTCTCTTCTGTGGCTGCAGAAGATCCTAACTATTCCTTTAACTCCTGATTAACCTATCACTATTGCTGTTCCAGACTTTCTTGTACCCACCTGAATAACTGACCCACCCATTGCACCATGGACTTGGCTCTAGCTACACTTTGCAAATGATTCACCACTTGCAACAGTATGCAGTACTAAATACTGGTTGGAGAATGAAATATATTCAGGGGATTCCTGCACATTGTACTCATTCCTTTTTGAGTCTCTGCTGATCATTCATGCATGTTCTGCAAGCAGATCCCTAAGATGCAAGGTGACCATGTGTTTTTTTGTAAAATTCATTCACTGGCTGAGCCAGCATTTATTTCTGATCCGTAGTTGTCCTGAAGAATGTGGTTGTAAGCTGCATTCTTTAACTACTGCAGACCATTTGCTATAGACCCACAATGCCTTCACGGAGAGAGTTCCTTTTCTGGATTTTGACCCAGCAACACTGAAGCAATGGCAAAACTGAAGCATTGGCAATATATTTCCAAGTCAGGATGGTAAGTGTCTTGAAAGGGAATTTGCAGGTGTTGGTGTTCCATTTTTTGGAAGGTGCTGTCTAAGAAGGCTCGGTGAATTTCTGCATCTTGTAGATGGTAAACATTACAGTTACTGAGCATTGGTATTGGAGGGAATGTATGTTTGTTGCTGTGATACCAATCAAGTGGGCTGCTTTGTCTTGGGTGGTTAGCACGCTTATTGAGTGTTTTTTGAGCTACACATCTGCAATTGGGAGTTATTCCACCATATTCCTGACTTGTGCTTTGCAGCTGGTGGACAGGCTTTGGAGAGTCA